CCTAAAGGATTCTATGATTCTATCTAATCTTCCTAACATTTGCTCATCTATAGATGTTAGTTCTAACGTATTTTCTGTCATGTTGTTCATGACAACAGCAACTTCCTTAGCAGTTTCTACAGATGCAGCTAGAGAAGCAGCAGCAATTGCAGTCGTTGTAGTGATAATTACAGCAGAGATTATCAAAGCTATTAGCCATCCTATAAACCGTCACTTACATGTCCAACTATATATTAATAAATTTGAAAGCTTATTTAGACTGCAATAATTTTCCCACTCTCAAGCGAGATTCACAGGCAATGATATTTCTGCTCTGTAGCACAGCATGGCTATGGTTGTAATATTATATTTTTGTAGTACCTGCTGAGCATAACAAAATACCAAGGATTGCAAATGGATATATTAAATGACTGATTATTTTTGCTATTCATTTCAGTTTCATCACTCCCTGCAAATAAACATGGATGAGGAATACATATTTTTACATTTGTCAAGATTTTTGTCATAATATATTGTGATGCTTTTGTGTTTCCAACATAGAAACCTCTTTCAATTGGCCTATTAATAAAAGGCAAGCCAAATCACCATATATTTGTAAATAGGGTACCTGAATGCAAAATCTTAAACCAAGCCTGCAATACTGGGTCAGAAAAAAACAACAGTTAGCCTAGCTCATTGCTTGATTCACAGTTTGATTAAAATCTTCCTGGCCTGCTGCAGAAACAGGTGATGTTCCTGGGCTATGAAGGGTCCTTCTCCCTCTGCTCCCATAAGGACACTGTTGCCTTGTGGGGTATGGGATTCAAGGGTTAGTTTCACCAGATCATAATACAATTTGACCAGTTTTGCCAGTAGCTACTATGGTCCTGCTGGCAACAAAGCACAATCATAACCTTTCTGTCATGTTAGTAACTCTATTGGGCCCTTCCTTTGGTTGTCTAACACAGGATCTTTGTATAACACTGAAGGATAATGTTCTTTAAACAGCGTGGGTTGCAAATGTCAAAAAATGTCAAATAATTAAGAGAGAACAGTACATCATCTACTCATTCATGAGAGGCAACCATACTGTCTAGACTTTTGACAGCAGTACAGGAGCCTACCTCTTCTCCTTAACAGAGGTAACAGCCATCTCCATGTATGTTCTAAAGATTTATGTCATATTGACTTCCCCCCACTTTTTTAAAATCACAGTGTGTTTTACAGAGGTCAGAATGGTTTCTTTACTGTTTGTCCATTCTGTTATTTCAATACAGAACAATAGCTTTTAGAACTGAAATGCTTTTATAACCGAAATATATTTGCTATTGTATATTATGAATCTCCTACAGACCATGAACACTCCTTTAGTTGGTTTTCACTGTTCCTCTGTCATCTGCCAGGCCATTAAGTTGCCCATGGTGTATCTGAGAGATACATTGCAAGTGCATCTCACAAACATATTTGGAATTGGCTACTTTTTACTTTGCCTGGAGCCATGTTTTGCTAATGTTCCCTGAGAATAAAAGATTCCTATAAAACCTCCACACTCATAAAAATAATTTGTTAAAATATTCCAGCTTTCCAAAGAAAATGTGCCTGCTTTTGACTTTCATCTCAAGTATATCAATTGCAAGTACATCAAAGACAAATGTTGCTGCTCATCATTGCTAGTATATCAAAGACAAATTGCCTTTCTCACATACACCCTTCTTTATTTCCTCATTTTTTTTTTTTTTTTGTAGAATAATAGGCCAAATCCTGTTGTCACTTACTTTCTCTCTAGCATGGTTCAGCTGAACTTCTACATTCAAAAAGGATCAATTGAAGGAGAATTCTGGTATGTTTCTATAACCATAACAAATTGACTAACTATTGACAGATTGACTAATAAGGGCTAATTGCTTTCCATCACTAAGGTTTTCATAGGTTTTATTACCATTCCAGTATCTAGATACAAATGAGGCTTAAAGGAGCATGAACGTTATTTCCCAGTCTTTTCTCCAGTCCAATAGCCTTGATGTACTGGTGGAAAACACTTTGTCATATAGAATAAAAAACTAATATTTGCTCTCCTTTCAACCAAAAATAAACCCATTGAAACTAAAATTTGATCTAATCCCATTAAATTATTTTTAGGATGTCAAACTGTCATCTTCTGAAGGGCAACAGTGGGTGGGTCACAATTCAGACTATAAATTTGCAAGGAATCAGGCAGTCTGTCTACCTACAGCTGAAAAGCTGTACGGCTTTTGGTGCTGAAGCTCAAGAGGTAAGCATGTCTCCATAAAAATGGACTTTCTCACTACATTATATTTTGTTTATGCCTGAACTTGAAAAGAGAACAATTATTGTATTATGCCTGGTAACTTTAAGGACAGAATATTTACATGATGTTCTCTGAAAACTTTCTCGTGTGTGTGTGTTCTCTTGTGTTTTATGTATAAAACCTGAACATTTGTTTTCAGAAGACCTTTGAAGTTTATTTTTTGTGCTTAAAATATTATTTTGTGCTTAGAATATGGATAGGGTTTTCTTTTTTTTTTTTTTTTTTTTTTTTTTTTTTTTTTTTTCCCCAGAGCAAATTATCCTCTCCTTTAGTATCTTTTAAGCTTGGTTTTAGCAGCCAAGGAATAAGCTTGCTTGCATGATCTCCAGTTCATCAGAGTGCAGAGAGAAGAACTGTGGCATTCAGTGAATTTGCTAGGTTTATTTCAGTGAGAAATTTCTCTAAGAGTTGCATCCCTGTTCCCTGGTGAATAATACATAAGATAAAAACAGATGTGGGTGTATTTTTACAATAACCTGTAAATGTGAAATTGTATACAGAAAGGAAAGTGAGAGAAATGTGTGTGTGAGTGTATGTGTATATGCACAAGCATGGTCACTAAAAGCCTTGCTGGAGCTTAATATTCCTATGACAAACTTGAGATCCCAGCATTACACACCTGTATAAGGGGCTGGATCTTGGAAGACAACAAAATTTGTCTGTTTCTGTAAATTGCGGGAAGGAAACTGGATTCATGCTGACTTCAAAAGCTGTGCTTTATATAAGCACACTGGCTGCACAGGACCTTTACTGTCCAGCCTTTTATTGCATCTTCAGACAGAAGCAAGTAATTAAGATTTTATTGGTCTATTCCACAAATATTAATTTAATAGTGCTGTATTATGGTAGACATTGCTATTTTATCGTGTCTTAATTTTTACTCAATCTGAATGTCACTAACAAAATTTAATTTCTCAGAAAGTTTATAGTGTAGCATATATATGGATATATTTAAAAAAAAAATCAAGTTTATCTGAAAGCACAATAGGGTGTATTATGAATTTTGTGCATCAGTCTCCCTCCTTGACTATGTGATCTTAGACAGATTATATTGCATATCCGTGCTTCCGTTACTAAAGGAAGACTTTGAAGATCTGCTGATAGTAAGTCTTGTGCAACAAAAAGATTTTACTGCACATATTTATTTTTAGAAAATAAAAATGATCTGTCTCTGCTTTTGCTTATATCTTGTGCAAACCCAGAAGAAGTCTACTAAAAATTGAACTTCAAATTTCCAGTTTTGCAAGTATATGAAAGACAAATAATATTTTTTTGTTTTCATCAAAGGTATTTCAAAGTACCAAGGAATCACAGTCTTCACTGAGTGTAAGTCAGTACAGGCAATAGTCATTGCCTGCTTGGGAAAGGTAAACAGAAGTCAGGTACAGATTTAAGACCTCTGAGGAAATTCACCATTGAAAAGTCAACTGAATACAAATGCAGAAAGAATTAGACTTAAGAATACAATTTCTAACGTGTATCCGAGGTGAGCATGCCAACAGGCATGTTACCACAGAATGACTTCAGAACTACTTGTTTATATTTTGTTGCCTAACAACTACTATTAAAGTGCTTTGTACTTTATTTGTGCAGTATTTTATCATTGCATTGTCATTTTACTTCTGCTGTCTGCTCTAGACAATACAGCTTTCCCAATGGGCTCCATTGGTGCAGCAAGCACGGAATTTTGCTTTGATGTATTCAAGGAGCTGAAAGCTCAGTATGTCAACGAGAACATCTTCTACTCCCCCATGACCATCATTACAGCTCTGTCTATGGTCTACCTAGGTTCGAAAGAAAACACCAGGGCTCAGATAGCTAAGGTGAGGCTACAGTAAACAATTAAAACCTTTATGCTGTTCAATAGAGCCATAGCACTTAATTTCATGATAATGTCCATTGCATAGCTCAGAGGCTAAAAAAATCTGGTCCTAGAGTTATCAAAACCAGTGACTACCTCAAATTCCTATAGTACACATACATCAGCCAGAAATCTTGAAACTGGATTTTTTTCTTTTATCATTGTTAGCTGTAGGATGCTCGAAGAGACCACCACATTCCAGTAGTCCTTTGTTTAAAGTAAGGAAAGTAGATAAAATCTACAGGGTAAGA